TCTTCTTAAAGGAAAGGCAAATTCATTCTTAGTGATCTTCTTGCATCCTTTAAAATATAGTCAGTATCTGGTGTATCTCCTTTTAAATTCAGTGTATTTCACTGAATTTAAGTCTATTTCTTAAAAAAAAAAAAAGAAGAAGAAGAAGAATCTATGCTTTGGACATTGTCCGGTATAGGCGAGTTTTTGTGGAAGCTGCTAAAACTAAGGCTAAATATCTTCACAAAAATAGGGTTTTCAGGCACAGTAGGAGAGTGTTCCTTCTAGGCCCTGTTAGTCATTCAAAAGAAGCATACTAAGCCACAAAAGGGGCCAACTTAGACAAATGCCCTCACTCTGACCTCGAAGTACAAAGCCATGAGCCTGGAAAGGTGACTTTCTCAAAGCCGTTGTGCTGTTTCATGAGCGTGTGTTCTCTAAATTTCTCTTGAGAAGGACCACACAGTGGTTCACTCTGCCTGGGAGGCCCCTCTGTGCACTTGCTCTGGCCTCGTTGCACCAAGCCCTTGGAGTGTTAAAACTGTGCCCATTGCATTTCATGATGGGGTCCTGGATCAGTGACAACTCACCATTTCCTTTGAGAATTCTAAATTTTGCTGTGGAGTCTGAGGTGCTCCTATTCCAGGTTCTGAAGAATTGTCCCTAAACCCATTCACTTATACAGTAAGAGAAATGCTCTGTAAACAACACTGCCCCCCTCCCAAGTGTGTGTACACAGTTGCTATGATTCCTGTCTGGGTCGTCCTTCTGTGCTCCCACTTCCTCCGTAAGTTACAGCTCCTAAGACATTGTGCCAAGGTGCACCTCCGTACATTGAGTTTTCATGCAGTTGAGAGCACGATTTAAGGATTACTTGTTGTTGTTGCTGTTACTTTTGTTGCTGTTGTAGTTTCAGACAAGGATAACCCAAGCTGTCCTGAAATCCACTTTATAGCTCAGGCTGGTCTGGAAATATTAGCGATCCTCCTATCTCAGTTTTTTTTTTTTTTTTTTTTTTTAATTCTGAAAAGAAAACATGATTTTAAATATGCCTATCTTATCCATGTATCTCAGCTTCTTAAGTTCTGGGATTACAGGATATGTGCAACCCAACCAAGCTCAGGATCCAGGCTGCCTAAATGCAGTAACCACATTAACTACAACTTTGGTGGCTCTGACTCACATAGAACATTCCTCTTCAAACATGGTGTTTTATTTTAACATCTATAGAAGTTGCTGCTGCCCCTCGGTGTAGAAGATGAGGGACATTTGAAGAGTGGTGACAATTGTTAGGCTTCTAAAGTCTATATAATTGGATACAAACTCACAACACGAAGCAGGCATCTGGAATAAATGGGCTGAAGAAGACTGGGCACTGGGAGAATAACAAACAGCACTGTCATGACAGTAAATGGTTCTGGAGACATAATGCCGTGGGTAGGGCTCTGGGAGCCTGGAGTCTAAGAGACTCAGATGTAACCATCATGTAATGATTCTTTTCAGGGTCCTTTAAAGGAAATTGTGACTTCCTGGGTGCAGTTCTACGAGTGTAGGTTTAGAAATAATGCAGTTAGGGCGAGTAAAGGTAGCATTGCAACATACTTAGGCAGTGTGTCCCGAAGATGAGCCAGTGTATTTGCTGGTTTAGTCAGAGGGGAGGCTGTTGATGCACTGGCGATGGAAAAGCCAAAGGCTGCCTTTGTGGGGGGAAGAGATCACTGGACACGACTGTCCTGCGGCAGAGTAATGTCAGTCTTTCCATGGTGAGAGAGTAACGGGTGGAAAAAAGGTGGAACACGAGAGTGTATGTTATCTCTATATTAGTATAACAAGTGTGCTATAAGATTAAACATCAGAGAGTCATTTCTCAACTTTCTAGACTCTCCAAGTTCTGAGGTCCAGTGAACAGATTTAGTGTGTGGCAGGGCCTCCTCCTGGTTTATCTGTGGTCTTTTCCTGTTCTGTCCCATGGGCCTCCTCTAACAGTATAATTTTGTCATGAGAACTCTACCCATAAAAACAAACAAACAAACAAAAAGACTTTTTTTTTTCCCAAATCAAAGTCTTATCTTCAGATACTGTCACAGTAGGACTGCAGTTTTCAATATAAGAATCTGAGGAGGATGCATTACTCATTCCATATGAAAAACATAGGGTCTGGACTGGCTTAACCACTAACTTGTAGTGTCAGTTAAGGTAATCAAGTTATCTGCATGATTTTTCATTTTTCTCTTGTGGGATGAGGGGTTTGGGATAGCTTTCTAATGATCTTTTATCTCTAAGTAGTATTAAATTCTGTGATCTGTTTTTTTTTTCTTTGCATAAAAATAGTGAATTCATTCCTATCTGATAATTCTACTCAATAAAAACTGTCTTTTTCCTTTATGAACCTTGGTAGGTATGTTTTTTTTTGTTTACATTTTTTTTATTTTTTATTAATTACACTTTATTCATTTTGTATCCCCCCATAAGCCCCTCCCTCCTCTCCTCCCGATCCCACCCTCCCTCCCCTTTCTGCATGCATGCCACTCCCCAAGTCCGCTGATAGGGGAGGTTCTCCTCTCCTTTCTGATCTTAGTCTATCAGTTCTCATCAAAAGTGGCTGCATTGTCCTCTTCTGTGGCCTGGTAAGGCTGCTCCCCCCCTCAGGGGGAGGTGATCAAAGAGCAGGCCAATCAGATTATGTCAGAGGCAGTCCCTCTTCCCATTACTATGTAACCCACTTGGACACTGAACTGCCTTGGGCTACATCTGTGCAGGAGTTCTATGTTATCTCCACGAATAGTCCTTGGTTGGAGTATGAGTCTCTGGGAAGTTCCCTGTGTTCAAATTATCTTGTTCTGTTGCTCTGCTTGTGGAGGTCCCGTCCCCTCCAGCTCTTACTATTTCCCACTTCTTACATAAAATTCCATTCACGCTGCCCATCAGTTGGCCATCAGGCTCAGCATCTGCTTTGACAGTCTATACTGCAGAAGCTTTCAGAGGCCCTCTGTGGCAGGTTTCAAGGTTGTTTCCTGTTTTATTCTGGCTTTCAGAGGCCCTCTGTAGCAGGTTCCAAGGTTGTTTCCTATTTTCTTTTTCTTCTGATGTCCATCCTCTTTGCCTTTCAGGATGGGGATTGAACATTTTAGTAAGGGTCCTCTCTTTACATACCACAAAATTAGCCTATTTTTTAAATTTATACTTTGATGAAATTGAGTACATATGTCCCTACACAGACATCTCTAAAATCCAGGTCTAGAAATTTCAGACCATCTCAGAAGATGTGTGTCCATTTGAAATGCATTTCTTATTTATCTCTCACTCAGACAGCTACCAATCTTCTTTGCACTCCTAATTTTGTCATTTTGTTTGTCTTTTCCAGAAGTACAATGACTTCTGTTATTTAGCGTAATATCTTTGAGGTTCATCCATGTTGCAAATAACTTGTTCTCTTGTATTAACAAAGAGCGTTCCTCGGTGTGAGTGTGTACCACATTAGTTATTAGTGATCAAATCAGATGCTTTTCTTTTGAGGCTGAATAAATAATGGGTACAAATGACCACTTGTAGCCTTTCTGTGAGTGTACCTTCTTTCCTCCTGCATAGAAAGGAAATCTATAAATTGCAAAGTGGTCTCAAATTTGTCTGTTTTATATTTCTGCCGTTAATTTATGAAGGTTCCGATTCCACATCCTCCCTGATACTTAATGTACAGTCTGTATTATTGACTGCAACCTATGGTGTGTAGTAATATATCATCATGGTTTTAATATTATGTCTCCAATGATGAATGATATCACATGAAATCCATGTTGTTCTTATTCAACTGATGTTGTTGCCACAGCTTAAAACAATTTTTAGAACTCTGTACTCCAGATTTACTAGTGTTGTTGCAAGCCTTTTTTTTTTTTTTTTTTTTTTTTTTTTTTTTTTTTTTTTTTTTTT